AAGAGAGCTATTAGTAAATACTTTTTAATTTAAAGCAAGACTGAATCATATAGGTAAATTTACTATTTAATATTTTAGTTCTACAGGAAATCCCATGGTATTTAGGATTGGTGGATATCTGGATACTAGTGGTACAATATCAAATAAAGCAGCTATAGCAAGAGTAACAGATAAAATTTATGGTAAACTAGCGGATAGGGAAAATGTTAAACTGTATTTTATATTTTCGGATAAATAATTTAACCCCTAGTCCACATACGAAAATATCGTATGAAACTTCAACATTGTAATCTCGATTATGAAACTTTTTATCATCATTGATTAAAAAAACAGTTCTCTTTATAAGAGACTTGATGTGAAATTTAACAAAAAGTCTTAAGTATGCGTAGACATGATTTATTCTACCCATTCTAATTAATTTGGGTGCAGTTCTTACAAAGAAGTCATTCCCTTTTCTAAGGTTAGTAATATATGGTTTGAAAATTTCTTTTCTTAATATTGGAGTAAATTTGATCATATTATTTTAAATTAAATATTTCCCATTTCCGATTTTACGGTCTTGACGCCCTTGTATTAACTCACGTAATAACCCTATTCAAAAATTTCAGCGTACCAAAGTATCGTAACAACATTGATTGTTACACTCATTACTATTAAATTAGCCTTTAACAAGACCAAAAATTATAATTAACTTATGAAAAAATATATTAAAAAAATATGAATGCAATTTATTTACTTACTTACCACATACTAATAAGATCTAAATTCTACGGTTACATGGGTAACTATTTCGATACTTATTATCTTAAATTTAAAAAATACGAAGATCTATTGATTGCTCCTTGGATTGGGGTACAAAAATTTCTGTATTCACCTGATTATAAAACTATTATACTTAAACTTTTCTTCAGACCTAAAGAATATGAGGGTAAAAAGAAATTTGCTAATGCATTTTCCCTACTGTAATTAAAATAATGAATTTGTTAGCTTTAGCTACTAATTTTATATTTGAGCTAAATTTGGGCCATTTTAGCCCATTTCTAAAAACCATTGTATTAAAACAAAGGAGGCTTATCACCAATGTTTACCCGTAAAATGAAGAAAACACGAATTTCTCCTCAGTTTTTGGGGTGTTTTTGTTATAAGGTTACCCCAGTCCCCCTACCGTACAAGGGGATAATACGATACCAACCCCTCGTGTAAAATGGTATAAAGGGTTAAACTATTGAGGGAATTTTTTCCACTGATTAAAGAATAAAGGGTCTTTAATAAGGAAATTATAAATTTGTTGGTCATTAGGGTGTGTTAAAATGTACTCTCTAATCGAATCAGTTGCATTACCATCAAAATTTAAATCCTTAAGTTCCTCACTGTTAACTTTAACGAAATTAGCTAAAAAATCACTTAGGCCACCATTTCTGGCAGTATCAGTCCAGTATCTAGCTAAGTATTCAAGGTTAACAAGATCAGCTTCAAACAATGGTAGTTTTCCGCAAATAATAGCCCAAGGTTTAGGATGTTCAATTTTATCACAGATTTGTTCAACAGTCAATCCAATATGATGAGGGTTCAATTGATTTTCTTGTGGAGAATTAGGTTTATCCTCGAAATTAAAACTAGGTTTATCCTCGAAATGTACAGAGTGAGATGTATTATCAGGTGAATCTTCTATATATCCAGATGGAATGCCAAATGGTCTCACAAGAGGTCCACCACCTAAAAATCCAGGTTTATCCGTATTGTCAGGTAAATGAACCGTAGGAGATTTAGGAGTATCTTCTCCACTAGTATCAGGTAATTGAACAGTAGGGGATTTAGGAGTATCTTCTCCACTAGTATCAGGTAAATCAACACTTAAAGGTTTAGGTGTACTATGATAATCATAATGTTCTAAAGATTTTTGCAAATAATCAGTGAATTTGTTAACTCTATTAATATCTCCTCTTGAACCATCATGATAAGTAAGTTGTTCGATAATCCAATTGTAAACATCTTCATAATCAGCAGTGATAATATTAGATTTACTATTATCTTGATTATGCATATAAATATATGTACCTGTTAATTTACCAGAGATTAATTTTTCAGGTACTTCTCTACCTTTAAAGCTCATTAAAGGTTTATGTTCTTTAATGTCGAAATTCTCATCATTCAAGCATGCTGCAATATAATCTCTATAATATCTACTGTTATTATAATTAAGTTTATGAAATGCATCTAATTTATCCAGATCAGGATCACCCATAGTAGGGTATTTATCCATATAGAATAATCTAACTTTAGTATTTAAGAAACCCTCTGATACATAAAAATCAGTAGTAACGGTAGATGTAGATGAATCACCTCCTAAATCAGAGTCAGCAATAGTAGTAGTGTTACCAAATTTTAGATGGGACCAAATCCAAGCCCCACCAGCTGCAGCGGCTTCTTTAGCACTTACACCAGCATTTACAATAGCATCTTTAGTTTTAGATAAGGGATTACCTGAGCCACCAGCATCGGGTGAAGAATCACTAGATAAAATATAAATCAAAAGAGCTGATACAATGACACCACTAAGGAAAAGTAATATATTTTTAGTTGTTTCATCTAAATAAGGTTCCTTTGTTGGAGTATATAACTCTTTATTTACAGGTAATTCATTGGGGCTTGCAGGAGTGAGCCAAGGTTCAGGAATTTCATATACTGGAGGTTTAGGTTTAGGTAAAGGGTATTGATCCGGGTCAACTTTATTTAAAAATCTCTGGGTCCATTCTAGAATAGAATCTACTAACTCAGTGAAAATATCTTCAGTAATTAGTAAATATGCAGCATTTAAAAAGAAGACTAGAATTTTCCAATCAATACCGTATCCAAAAATATGTGAAACAGCATTAAAAAATATAGTAAATAAAGTACTAATAGAGAACCATTTTAATATAGCTCTAAAAATTTTAGTAAATCTAATAATAAATCTATGTTTAAATAATGTATTCAACCATAATACAGTTGATATAAATTCAAACAATTTAAAGCATGAGGCAGCTAGGGTTTTATAATTTTTAAATATGTCGTAACATAATTTTCCAAGTTTAAATTTTAGTTTCATCATAATAATAATAATAAATAACTTTTCTCTAGCCAATTTAATGGTAACTACTTTTTTAAGGCCAATTTAATGGTAATATTTTGAATTTAATAATCTTGATAAGGGTTAAACCTACCTATTATAAACCTAAAAAGATTATATAAAAAATAATAATGAAAATTTCACATAAAGACTATAAATAAAAAATAATGAGGTGTAGAACATTAAATAAACTACAACTCACACTTATAGTGGTTTATTAGGTAGTTAATCCAACAATAGCTAGATGGTAAAGCCAAATAATGTGAGCAAGATAGATAAAATAATGAATCCAAAATATTCTGTAAAAAGTTAAATACGTAAGATAAGTAATGAAAGGGAATCTACCCCAATAATTAATTGGTATTATAACCCATTTGGCTTTAAACCTCTGAAGTTTATTAATAACTCTCGATAAACAAAACATCCCAGTTAGACTAGTTGTTACAAAAGTAACAAATTCATGTGGTATTGTATGAGGTAAAAAGTAGATAATTAAAAAATCGATAATAAATCCAACTAAAAGATTTATAAAAAAAGTAAATAAAGTAATAAGAATTATGAAGGTAATTCTGTAAATGTTAAAGTTAGGTGTAATAATATGAAAAAGTAAATTTCTAGCTTTACCACGAAAAAACAATTTTCTAGTTTTTTTATGATGTCTACAAACTCTTAAAAAAGATATAAAGTAATGATTTCGTTTAAGTTTCATAATAATAATAATAAAAGACTTATTTCTAGCCAATTTAATGGTAAATAACTTATCTCTAGCCAGTTAATGGTAAATGGGGTTAAAGTAAATTAGTTATAAAAAAATAATACTAACCAAAGAATGTAAAAAGTATAGGTAAAATAAAATACCCAAAATACCTCTTTAAGAAGTAAAAATACTAAAAAAGCTCTAGTAGGGAATTCACCATCAAAAGTAACAAATAATGAAATAAAATCTATAGTAGCTTTCAATTGGTAGAAAGAAACAATGATAAAAATTAATCCCGTAAGGATAGAACCTACGAAAATACAATAAAAATGATAAGTAGCTGGATTAGGGTAATAATCCATTAGTAAATAATCGATAATAACCCAACTATAATGATTTAAAGATATAAAAAATAAAGTATTAATTAACAAGAATAAACTTCTGTAAGGGTTAAAAACAGGTGTAATAAGTTCGTTAAATAACGAAGGATAAAATCTATCAATTAAAGATATAAAAAAATATGTAATGTTCATAAATATATAATAAATAACTTTTTTCTAGCCAATTACTAAACCTTTAACTGGTAAAACAGGTATAAATGATACAGTGAGCATAGAGAATTTAATATGTTGATTAGGTTTTTTAAATAGAGAATCTTCTAACCCTTGAAAGTTATCAGATGACTCTTTAACCAGATCAAATCTTTTCCACTCTATTTGACTAAAAGATTCTGAATATAGTAAGCGTAAGAAACACTACCTGCTTTATCCAGATATATATTATTATAATAAACTCTTGTTTTGTAAATAACAAAATCAAAAAATTTATGTAGTTCACAATCTTTAGCTTGCATGATAATAGCTTTACCACCCCATGCAAGATCTAGTACTTCTAAAATTTGAAATTTATTGTTGTTCATAAAATATATAATAAATTACTTTTTTCTAGCCAGTTAATGGTAAATAAACAACCGTTAGCACTCGTGTAAAGTACACTAAGGGGTAAAAAATATTGCTTTAATTTATATTTAGCAGATACTTCTAGTACCCTTTTTAGTTATAGATTTCAATTCACACTATTTTGATAATGCTAAACTAGATAACATCCATTATTTAAACCTGATAAATGTTTAATAGGGTTAAGGCATAACTTAACTAATGTGTTAAAATTGTACTGTAACAAATCTGAATCATCCGGAATAGAGAGGAATTGAACCTCTAAGGGTCTCCCCGAACAATTAGCAATCGTCTTATCTTACCAATGAAAACTATTCCTTTAATACCTTTGCAGTTGAAACATTTTTTTAGTCTTTATCAGATTCGAACTGACACCGGCTGCGTGAAGGGCAACTGTAATAACCATTTTACTAAAAGACCACCTGTCTTGTGTACCTTAATCCGGCACCCTTTGTTTGGATTACGACATCTGGAATTGAACCAAATCCGCCAGTTCATGAGACTGACATGCAAACCTTTACACTTTGTCGTACTTTTATTTTGTTTTTTTATTCTTATAATATTCTCTTTTGGATTCGAACCAAAATTGACACTTTAGAAGAATGATGTTCTACCATTGAACTAAGAGAATTAAAGGTAAAACTCCGTTTAACAAACAAAAAAAGATTTGATTTAATTACTTGCTTTACAAGTTGCTGTTTAACTATACGAGTAATCAGATTCGAACTGATGATATCTACTTGGAAGGTAGAGGCTATACCAACTTAACTATACTCGCTGTTATATTATACACTTTTATGTCTAATACCTGTCCGAGACCTCCTTTAAAAAGTCACGAGCCCTTCCAGATTCGAACTGGGACACCCCTCATTGACAATGAGGTACTCTACCAATTAAGCTAAGGACCCTTTTAAGGTTACACACCTGTGCTTCGCACCGTTATAAAATACACTTATAAAATTAGTGTGTAAGGACAGTTATATCCTCTTTTTACAGTTTCGAAGTTTTTGATTACAGACATAAAAATAAAAGATAAACAATATCTAGGGTGCGAAGCACACAGACTCAGCTATATTAAATTATAATAATATTCCCGAAGGGGGGCTACACCTACGTGTAATCAAAGGTACATTCTACGATTACGATCTGCCAGATTTTTACCAAACAGCCTTTAATAAACTACGCTGATTGGGGCAACCCAGGGAGGGGACATATAGTAATTCATGTCTAGTGAAACATTAAAGGATAAAATTCGGTAATTATCTAATTAGAAGTTACACAGCATTTAAAGTTAAATTCCAATTTCCTGACTCTGTGAAGTATCCAAAGTATCCAAAGTATCCAAAGTATCCAAAGTATCCAAAGTATCCAAAGTATCCAAAGTATCCAAAGTATCCAAAGTATCCAGTGAGATAAAGGCCCTATAATGTATCCTTTAGAAGGAATAAGTTTGTGTACCGGATTGGAACTTCTTTTGGCTTACAGATTAGGATGCAAATTTACCGTACTTGCTGGATCATACATTTTCCGGGCCCCATTCATTAATACAAGTGAAACTGAACTAGATGTTTAACGTGAGTTGATATACAATAAATTAGACTTTGAATTAAAGGTTGATAAATCAAAGGTTAAACCAAAACCTGTAGAAAACACCATTGCAGATCCTGTAGAAGATTTAGAGCTATAATTGATGAAATACATCTCAACACCCCAACAATTATATGTTCAAAGTATAGAAACCCTTATACAAATCAGTATTTCAAAGCGAATTAACTTCGTATAAGCAGTTAGATATTACTGAAATGAACCCTGAATTAGTAGTAAATAACGTACCTTTAACACAATTGAGTACCGAATTAGAAAGTGTACAACATTCAATTGATGCCGTTTCAAACGTAAACGAGTTAAGCTCTATAAACACTTCTGAGAAAAGTATAAACAATAAATCAAGTAACGAATTAAGTATAGAACTTAAGGGTAAGGAATGTAAAGTAATTGACAATTTATCAAGATTCTTTGATGTAGTAGAAACACTAACAAGAAGAAGATCAGAATACCCAAAGAAAACATATTATAATGTGTTATACAAATTTATTGCCAATGCAGGAATAGGACAGATGGCACGTGGATTAAACCAGAAAACCTCATTCGATACCAAATCAGGTACAAATATAGTAACATCAGCAGGACCATTAATAAATCCGTTGTATGGTGGATGGATAACATCATTTATTAGAACAGTATTAGCTGAAATAATGAATAATGTACATAACCAAGGAGGTAGAATAATCTCTTGTACAACCGATGGGTTTATTAGTGATATGTCAGGATTAGATTCAATGAATATAGATGGACCAAACTGTGAATTTGCTAGAATGTATAAAGAAGCTAGATTCAACTTACTACAAAAAGAGGAAGCCTTACTAGAAATCAAATATGTTGAAAAAGAGGGTGTAATTTCATGAAGTACAAGAGGTCAGCTTGGATTAAGTACCAAACTAAGAGCAATGACTGGTTATCAGGTGACAGAAAGTCAGGATAAATTAGTACAAAAAATCTTAGGAGTAATGAATGGTGATAAACACTTGTCATTTGTACAATTTTCATTAAGAAGTGCGAGAGACATTTTCCAAAAAGGGGGGACAGTAACGCCTCTCTTACAAGAAAGAGTGTTCAATATGAAATTTGATAATAGAAGACAGATAATAAGTAATGTCTTAGAACAACCCTTATTCTATAGTAGTAAACCCCATGTAGATGTAGCAATGAGTTTAATAAGTAGAAAATTAGCATCATTAGGAACAGCTAGATTTAATGTCTTCTTTCCAAGTAATAATTCCTCAGAAGGGAAAAGTTATGTACAATTATTAAAAAGAATGTTAGTGAGAGCCATGTTACATAAACCAGAATTATTTGGATTAGATTCAAGTAAAGTAACTCGTACATTAATAGTAGAGGTGTTGAACAATTGTGGAATAAAATGCCTACCGAATTATATATCAAAACAGACTCATCATGAATTCTTACCAAATACTGTACCAAGAACAGTTCATGTAGTAGAGGTATTGAATAAATTGAGAGAGGAATATCCAATGTTTAATCCTGATATAATGTATAGAAATTAAAAAAGTGCAGGGTGTAAAATGATAAAAAGTTCTAGTTTTGAGAAAATAATTTTATATAAATTTCAAAATCTAAAAACGGGAACTTTTTTATGAAAGTAAGTATTTTGCTGCTGCTATAGTATAATACTATTAAGATTATAAAGTAAGAAAACGTAAAATTAAAAAATGAAATTAAACAAATTAAACAAATTATTAGAATTGATTTATCATGAAACAGGTAATCTGTATGAATTTAAGGCAGAGGAATTGTCATTATTGGATGCTGTAAATAAACTACTGTATAAACTATCTGGTATGGATAGGGGAGATGAATTGACAGTAGTAAAATTACAGGAATTTGTAAATATAATTCTGTTAAAGTTGTATCACTATAAAAGCCTAGGTTTTGTAAACACTGAAGTAATGGAACAAAATGAGGTGTACTTACTGTTTAGATCTCTGTATGAAAAATATGTGGATGTGTTTAGTAAAGGGAATGTTCATTCAATGTTTGAGTTAGAGCATTTTCATAATGTAATATTATTAATATTAATATTAGAATTAGAATTGAAGATGCTGGATCCATTATTGAGTATAGATGAATTAGATGATTTGAAAGCTTTGAGATCAAAAGTGTTAAAAAATGTGTCAGCTCCCTTAAGATCCTCTTTATCAATAAAATCATTTGTGAAAAGAATCTATACGGGATTCGATACTGAGTATGGAACATTGGAATATAGTAAAACAGATTTACTATGTTTGACAACAAGTACCTATATTGGGGTATTTCTTCGTGTCAAATCATTAAAATTAGATTATACTATAACAAATCACCATGATACAGCTCAGGAACCAGTAACATCCGGTTTATTAAATTTATTGGTAAGATTAATAAGATTAGTGAAAGGTAAAGGAGATCATAAAATAGCTGATTTATTATTAAGATTGAGATCAAATTCAGATGTGGAGGAATTATCATTGAAAGGTGATAAATTGTTTAGATTTTCAAAAATATTGAAACCTTCAGATTTTATAAATAAATACTTTGATCTAACAGCTGATAGCTCATTTCATTCGTTTAGAAATCTAATGGATATCTCATTGAATATAACGAAAGATTTATTCACGGAAGATATATTAAAGTTTACATCAGAGTTATTGTCAGTAGGAATAGACGTAGAAACAACCAGATTAAAAATCCATAAAGAAGTATATCTGCTAGCTCACTTTACAACAGCAGACATTAGTTCATGGTCAGATTTTGAGGAAGTGAAAGAGTTGTTTAGTATACTGAGAAAATGTTTTATAACAATATCAAATAAAAAAGCGTATAAAGGCTGGAAAGTGTTCTTAAGAGATACAAGTTTATTATCTCCAACGACACAAAGTTTGGGAGCAATAGGTGAATTGTATAGTGATTTGGGTTTAAATAAAATAGATTTACCTAAATCATCTAAAAATAACATGAGATTGTTTATGCAGGAAGACTTTAATAAGTTCAAAGAATATGCAATGAAAGATTCAGTAATAACCCTGTGGCATGCCCTACAAGTAGAATACTCAAATTATGAATTTAGTAATAGTTTCAGTATACCGATAACATTGAGTTCATTAGCAACAAACTACTTATATAAAGAGTTGGTAGATACTGTAATAGGTAGAAAAAACTACCATAATCCCCAGGTAAATGGGATATTTGGAATGAAATCTTTATCAAAAGTGTTTACACCTTTAGGAATAGAATGCTGTGGAGAGTTGCATGAGTATATAGATTACTATCTAGGATCTTACCATGGTGGTAGAAATGAAAGCTTTATGTACGGTGTAATAAATGGAACCTTCTATGATTATGATTTACCTGGAGCTTATCCAACAGCTATGAGTTTGATTGATTATGCAGATTGGAATAGACAAATTACTATACCTAAGATGTCAGGTGATGATTTTATGGACAAATATGGTGACTATCTAATAGAAAGTTATACCTCATTGAAAGTTAAATTCCAGTTCCCTGCATCTGTAATGTATCCGAATTTAGCTGTTAGACTAGATAAAGGTTCAGTTATTTATCCCCTATCGGGTGTAAGTTTTTGTACTGGATTAGAAATACAACTAGCACTCATACTGGGATGTAAATTAACTGTGGATATTATTCAACAAGATATAAAATAAACATGATGGGGTGCGGTGAATGGAGAAAGGGTTAAAATTCTTTTGGTACTTTATTTTTTGTATTTAATTTGAAATACTTCACTTAATGTTGGTACAGTTGTATCACCATCATCGTCAAATATTTTTGTTTGGATTATACATCCCTCTAATGATTCCTCTTCACTTAGAATTAATCTTATTCTATTAAGAACAGCGTCTAAGTGGAATTTGTAATTTAAATCTATTCTACATTTAGGTAATAGTTCTATCTCTTTAG